CCTAAGCACCCATTGGGTACCGTGGGGCTAAAGGGGGATACATAGGAAAGGGGGGAGGGACGCCATACGGACTCTGGCGAGGGAACACGTGTGCATGCAACATGCACACATTCTGGCTCCGCCTACGAGAACCGCCGGGTGGTACCTCCGCGTTCGATAGTCAGAGACCAATCTACCACCTACGGACAATCACAACATCCATAGCGAAGAGAAAAATTTCTCCTGGGACGGGACTTGAACCCGCACAGCGCACGGCGACTGATCAGGAGACCGAAGAGTCTACTACTGCGGCCATCGCTGCTACCTGAATACAAATATTTTTTTGGACGCCAGGTGGCAACACTGGCACTACAGGTAGAATTTAGAACAAACCACGTACGTAAAAGTTCTCAAAAACGTGTAACCTGAACTGAATCAGCATATACTAATAGATCACACGCGTCGCCATATGGCGACAGAGATCAGTGTCGCCAATAAGCGGCAGTGGCTTTGAACGTGTTAAGCTTTTTGAGCGTTTGTGTTAGAGCTCAACATGCGCCCGTTTTGACAAAATAGGTTCGATTGCTTCTGCGCCAGAGGTTCTCGATACTTCCAGAAAAAACTAACAAGGTATCTAAAATGACTTGTAGAACATTTACCCTTCCTAAATTGAATAACATTTATCGTGTCGATGAGTATATTCCTCTATCAACTCTAAAAGTAGCTCTCGACCTGCAAACGAGTTACGCAAAAATAGCAATTTCTTAGTGCCCAGTGGAAAGTGGTGATGTAGTACGTGGCCGAACCGGATTCATTTTTAAAGAGGGTCGACACCAATTAAGCGGAATCCGACCGATGTTACAGATTATGGAAATTACAGTTTTAATGGTGGATAGATTAGCTTGAGTGGGGACACGTACGTACACCAAGTTACCTGTTGCTAATTGCACGCCTAAGTACCTACGACGAGCTTGGCTTGACTCGACGTTGTTTAGAAGTGCGTAATCGGACTTTTCAGTGTAAAAGAAAAACAACTCGTACAGATGTATGTTGAATTATTTTTTATCAGATGGCATGCAGGCATGTTGTAATACGCCCTTTATCTCCTACCCTTTCCTTTAAGCTTGTCGTCTTATCTTCTAGATATTATTTTCATAACGTTTCTTCAATGGGAGATGTATAGTCACCGCAGATCGTTTTAAACAATGAAAACAAGTGAAGATCTAGATAGGTTCTTCATATACCGCACTGTGAGATATCCGTCGGACAACTGACATCAACCTCTTTTCTTTGAGGAGCAAAAAAGCTTCGACGACGACTGAACCTATCTCCGGATTCTTGCGTTAGTTAGTCAGAAATTTGAGAAAATAAATACTGTGTATGAAGTGCACAACATAATTCTTCATACATATCATTATATCATTTTGCTTTCAATAGCCGATCAGTATTGCAATAGAAAAACTGATATTACAAAATATTGCGTAGAAATTACTAAGTAAGCAACTTTATATAAAACTATAAATATTTTTACTGCATTGTGTGTATTAAAATGAAGTCCTGGATACTTTTTTCAATGCTGTTGTATGACTTTCATTTGTTCTTGAACACATCTATTTACCGCTGGCAAATACAAATGAAAGCACCCCAATATCTTTGTGTACAGAAACAAAAAAATCGACAAAACCTTATTCTTCAACCCCATCTGCAGTTACAAGCTGCACCTACTCCATCATCGTTCTTTCACGTCTTATATAAAAGCAACAACCCTCGCAGTTACAGGCTGGGAACAGTAGGCTATGAAATAGATGAATGCCGCGTTTGTGTTTGATCCCTTTTTCCGTACTTATTTACTGGTGGACTCGCAATTGGCGTAGGGCTCGAATTTGAAGGACGAAGAAGCTTCGTATTTTTTGAAAATCGAGCTAAGGGTAGAAAAAAGTAAAAATCGCCGTGGTTCAGGCTCGTGGTTCAGGCTCCTGAAATTGATTTCGATGGCGCCTCGGGACGAATATACTTGATTCGCTATGGTAATTTTGACAGTGCCACGATAATTTGAACATAGAAGATCGATATAATCAGATGTCAGAATTATCATAGCGAATAAAATATATCGTCACAAGTCGCCGTCGAAATTAATTTCAACGGTTGAAAGTCATTTAGAATCAAGCACCTGATCATGTTCAGAAAAAAATTGCAGTGATTAAATACTAGGAGCAGGGGGTTGGGAGGGTACATATATACGCTTTTATAATGCTTCCAACCCCGGTAATTCTACATACATAGTAGACATATTTCACACATCATTGATTGGATAGAATGATTAGAAATGTTTCCGATACGCGTCTGCTTCTGCTATCTGGGCTCACCGCCTGGCGTACCGTTCTGGTTAACTTTGCTGTCAGTACTGCAACGTTGCCAGACAGACAGTAACTACCAGTTGGGCAGGGAAAGAATGTCGGCTAATAGTCTGGGCGTGTTTGATTGACTTGATCCGTTTGATCTCCCTGTTTTACATTTCCGTGACTATTTTGTTAGAGGATTTAACATGTGCTGAACTTAATCATTTATGACTTGACGCAAATTTTTTATCAAGACATGACTTCTCACTTCAATTTGTTTCTCAAACACTATTGGTAACTGAAAGTTGAAACTCCTCAGTGACTTTCAATAAACAACAAAATAATATCCTACAACCCTGTCTGCGGTTACAAATCCTTCTCCGTCATCTTCAGTGACAGGCTGCAAACAGTAGGCTATGAAATAGATGAAATGCGCTTGTGTTTGTCCCCCTTTTCCTTAATCATTCTTTAATTTTCAATATCCAAGGGAGCGCTGGCGAGAGTTTATATTTAGAATCACAGTTGGCGTTGCTTTAATTAAAACTTGTTTGACTGGCAAAAGAAACTCGAACCAAAGAAGCAGGAGCAATTAGCTTTACGGGGGGCCGAGAGCATAATTGGGGCAGAACAACAGATTATGGGAGTTAGGATTATCGGTCTTTAAGCCAGGCGAGAATTTAATAAAATTAGGCGAGGAACACTGATGTATTAATTTCGTTTTCTTAAGATGTACTGACACAGGCTGTATTTTATTCGTGTGAGCTAGTCCAATCTGGTTAAAAATTATATATTTCGTAAAGTTCAAAAACATGCCACAAATAATGCATTTTTAAACAGTATCAAATTCAGCATAATATTATGGATATTTCGATTAATTTGTCACTGTATCAATTATGAAAAGTGATTCTGATTTTCATTTAGAAATAGAAGATAATATGTAATTCATGGGTTCGTTATAAAAGCATCTGACCTAAATTGGTCCCCTTTATGACATACCGGCGTATCTAACAATTTATAAATTTTGCTATAGCGCTGCTGTGCAAATTCTGAAGTTTTCACAATTTTGACATAATAATTTGAAAGACTTAAGGATTCAATTGAAATAGTTGTTTTTTTACACAAAAGTCAGATACGCCGTTTTGTTATACATCTTTTACTAATTATCATCAGATACGCCATTAACTAAGGAGATCAGAATAAGGATAATAGAATGAAACTTTATAGGAAAATAGATATACATGGAGGGTAAAATATCAGGTTTACAATTTAATTAAAAATACACATTTCATGTAAAGTATTTTATTTTTGTTACAAGAAAAACAAATAAACTTAAACATTTTTAATGGTACTAGATAAACATAAGATTTATTTTGCACCTTCACGCATTATTTAAGGATCTGGAAAGCAAACAGTTCATTTATCAGAACAATCATGGTGAGGTAGGTTCCTATAATAGGTTTTAAAGTATGTCTCTTTAACTACAGGGGGAGCTCCACTGCACAATGCCACCAGATCATTATATTTTTGGAGACTAATTTTGTTATGCTCCTTGTTTTAATTGCATAGTTTCATTGTGCCGATATCAGAAGATATACGCTTAAGGGAAATTGAATCAAACTCTAACTGAAGGTGGCTATTATTAAAAAAAAATATTCATTGGAGAAGACCTTTCAACCATGATATCCATCACGTTAGTCCAATTCATTTTGCAGCCGCCTTCGGTTCCTCTTATACTTAAAACGCGAAGTTCATTGGACAAAACCTTGAAGTCGCTAAACTCGTCATAGCTCATACTAATTACTTTATAAGGATGTTTCCTGTGTGCTAAGTTTATAACTGGTTGTAATTGTGATAGTATAAAAATGTCTCCAGCACGACATAAAGCTGATGAAATGGCACTATGTGCTGAATCAGCTTCGCTTTGGCCATGGTTCGTTTCAAAGTATTTTAGAGAAATCTTTTCTTAGAGGAAAATTTATGAAGTGAGTATAATAACATGGTGGCTATGATTGAAATTTTGTTCTGTGCGTAGCATCCATCAGCAAATAATTCAATGACTGCCACGTTTTGTTTCTGAATGTAGTCTTCTATAACTTTAAAAAGACAAGAAGCAGTTTCTGAGGAGCCGCGCTTACTCACTGATTCATTCCAAACAAAACAGTAACATTTTTGCTAGCTAATTTGTAAAACGTAAAGTTGAAATTGGAAAGTCGACTCTTGTAAAAAATTGAATTCTCCTTGGATATCGGCAAATAACTTACTTGTTGCATATTAAAAACACCACAAAGAATACTACTGTTTTGTTTAGCCTGTTCTTTAGTCATCCTTTTTTTCTCGCGTACAGTTTTATTTTCTAAAATATGTATATCATATCTTTGCTTCAATTCATTTTTGATTTGTTCATCACCTTGTAGGTAAGTGACACATAGAGAGCATTGGTCTTTCTTTGGACTAAAAAAGGATAAGTTTTGCCTTTTAAAAGCTTTTCTATATAAAGAATAACTTGGAATTTTGGTACATCTTTCAAGTTTGAGCTCCTGGAGAAACATTTCTTAAGGAAAGATCTGGGTGAAGATATTTTCTTGTGGTTTTAGCACGACAATAGTGCGATTCGACTCTTGGAAATCTATTAATGTCAGCTTCTATTTGAGAATTCACACATCGAGAGTAGGCAGCAAATATTTACTCTTTACATAACTTTACCTCACACGTGCCGAAAGAAGGATCAGCATCTGAGTCATATTCTGGAGCATCATTTTCGCTCATTTCATAATCGTTTTGTGGTAAAACGTTGACCACTTGATCTGATATGCCAACGTTGCCTACCAGTGGATCTTGCAGAACATCTCTGAAACGGGCCAGTGATCTATCGTCTTCAGATTCGGAATCATGTGCATCACAATACATTTCTGTATACTTTGACTATGGCATCGCGTCTTCCGATATGTATGATTCACTTGGCTCTTCTATCGCTATAACCTTGCCTTGCTCTTCTATCATTATAATCTTGCCCATATACCACTGGTTTTCGTACAACATTTTGACTGTACCTCCAAGCCTAATTAGCTTACTTTTATGTGTTTTTAAGTCTTTAGAACACACGACATTTTTCGTGCCATCGCTCCACAACACATCCATTTCTTATACAAAACACTTATTATTTTACTTATTTGTTCACAGATCAAAGCAAACATCAAAATCATACAACCACGTGTCAGCTTGTATTTTGAGGTTATGTGTATCATGCGCTCATAGTGCTAATAAGGTGATTTGTAGTTACGCCATAAATTTTTAAATCTCTTTGGACCTCGGTATATATGACAAAGCGACGTATGTGTTCTTACTCCTGTATGCCATATATTAATTAGAATTTTTTAAGATACGTCAAATGATTAATCGGGTTTTTTGATAAATATAGCAAGAATACAGATATGTTGATTTGTCATATGAAACGCGCAGAAAAATTATACTATTTGACGGCGCAACTCAATTTTCGACTTTTTGACACATACGCCGGTATGTCGTAAAGGGGACGAAATAGAAGATTAGCTCCAATTCATAGGCAACATTGTTAACAGTGGTCCCAACTTCGCAAACTATTTGTTAAAAAACTTCATGGTTTCAGCTGAAAGTCTATTTATCGCTAGTACAAAACATATCTTATTGCATGACCCTGAAGCTTGCAATTATAATTGTTGCAAATTGTGAACAGTACCAATAATTTTTCTTAGATGACATTTCAATGTATTTTTCTTTTTCAGGTGAGTCCATTCTACTTAAGTTCCAAGTTACCTATTTGGAGCCTGTAAGTGATATTTTGCATGATAATATTTATTTACTCCTTGGAGTAAGTGGTAAAAACGCATGTTTGTGTCAGCTGCTATACTAGGTGCCCAGGTGTCTTTGAACGAATACAAATGTGGGTGTTTATTATCAGAAATTGCTCTATTTTATCAGGGCCAGGTCAGCTGCTCTAGAAATATTTTTCTATAGTAGTATAGTTCTTCATACATTTTAAAAATTAAGCTTAAAACTACGTTATTGTCCCCCCTGTATATGAGATGAGTCAGTTTTCAGCATTCTTAATAATTTTTACAAATATGATTATAATCATATCTGTCTCTGTCCTATATTGGTGTTGGACAGCTAGTCTATATTCACAAGTGTTTTTAACAAATAATCTGCTTACATGCTTCTGTGTTTGATATTAAAGTGTTTCCATGATACGGGTAGCGGAGCCTTGTTGATTTGATCGCGTGTGTTTCTTACTACCCATCTGTCAGTATGGCCAATGCGGTTACTAAACCCTCTGATGCAAAACCGGAAGATTCTCTCGTTTACAACATCTGTCTTCTCATAATAAAACGACCCCTTGTTCATTGATTATACTAGAATAAATAGTTCACATTGTGTAAGATAGGCTTAGTGTGGAGTGGTATGAGATCTATTGGGTGGCCTACTGGGACTGAAATAGACATAAATATATAGCCTTAGACAAAAGTATGAAATTATTTACTTCGTTCTTTATTTCAGCATTTTACAATATTATAAATTTTGAACGTCTTACAAACACTCACTGTTGAACCTATGAACAAAATTGCCCAAAATCGCCTCGTACTCGAGATAAATGGAGAACAAAGCTCAGCCTTTTTTAAATTTTGGCTACTTCCGATATTATTTTTTGGCCATGCCCAAGATTGCTCTGAATATGATCACGGGATCCTAATAAATCCAATGTAATTCCTTTCTCAGCTTTATTGGTGTATGAAAGAAACAGTCAAAAACCATAATTCTAATTGTTTGATTAAACCAATATTCTAGACGCAAAACTTAGAAAAGACATGATTTTACTGAATACGCAAAACTATGAGAATAAAATATTCCAGATATTACTATTATAATATACCCGGGATGTTGCAAAACTCAGTAATGGGTAGGAATGCAAATTTAAATGCAGCAGATTATACCATGCTCGGCGATACATACGGCGTGAACGCGTCTTATGAGACTTTTTCGATTAGAACGCGTTGTCTATGCATTCACATCAAGAAGGCGTTCCACTCCAGAGAATTTTCCCAGGTGGAACAGACGGAACACTTGACGCCATTGAACTTCAGATGCACATAAATGCGCTCACGCTAGGGACATTCCTTTACGCGCAGACTTTCATGATTTTCATAAGCTGCACTTGTCGATGCACTGATATGAACTTGAACTTCGTTCTGTCGAAAAGTATATAGAATACTCTCAAAATGGACACTATTAACGCATTAAACAAGTGTTGTTATGCTGAATAGGCAAAAACCTAAATACTGAGGCAGTGCGACTGCAATAGGAACTCAAACACGCCTTGCAAATCCGATTGTCCAAGCTTACTAGGACTGGGAAAAACCTTCTAAAGCAATTGTTCCACAATATCGATACCCTGGGAACAAAGGAGCGGTCGTACTGGACAGCTTTGGATGTACGAAGTTCGACAGCTGCAGCTGTCGCGATGGATGAGATTTGTTCGTCTCAAATCAAGTCCTCGATAATCTGAACTTCGACCAGCCGAAGCGTGTGTACGCTAGAACTCTTTTTACTATATTTTGAAAGCATTAAACAGTATCAGATTGTTGCGTCCCTAAACAGTGGTAACTTCCAAATCGCTCGGCATAGATATGTAATAAAAATAGTGTTGGAGCTAAGTTCGATCGTTGGGGAAATCCTCGTTGATATTGTCGATTACGACAGATACTTGAGGCCGCAGAGGAGGTCAGCCATCCATCAGTAAAGCTTATTTGTGAGGTCATAGGATGGAAGTATGCCTAAGAGGGTCAGCATGCCACAGCTGATCGAAATCATAATATCAAGAGCCTCACTAGGTGACTGTACAGGATGTGTTACGGAAGATTACGCATTAGGCTAAAGAACGGCAACGCTGAATTCTTCTCACTAAGTAATCATTGAATACACAATATGTATAAGCTTACTCCACATCACAGTTGTGTGAAAGAACCTAAGAAATCACACCGCTATCGCCAATCGCGAATCAAGCCCAGTTGCTCCAGGTGTTCCAGACGCCCTCGATTGAAGCACTTTTTACCATGTTAATCTCACAAACCAGAGCTTTAGGCGTATAGTTTAAGGGTCGATTTCAGATCATTTTTTGAGCACGTTAAAAGGCAAGAAAAGAAAGGAAAAGTAATCAGCTGCAATTTAAGATTCTTAATAAACAAACATTTGAAGAAAAGGGGAGGGAGGAAGTGGAAAGAAACCAAAATATTAGAAAATATAACAAAGGTATCTAAGTTTATGACAACAACCACCTTGAGGTTAGGCAGTCTCTATAACTGACAATATTGTCAAATATACCAACGATATGTCAGATACGCAATTTGAGAATCAGAACAATTTAAATTTCAAGCATATATTTCCCTTAAGTTACTAAACTAAAACGGGTATATTCTGCGTAGAGCATTAACTGTTAAATAACTATGAGGCAACAACAACAGGTTTTGGGAATACATCCTGTTTTCATAAAGTTATTAACCACACAAATCCCAAAGCTATTTAACTTCTAGGGTCCATTATCCCGCCTATATGAAGTTATAATTTTGTAAAAGAATGTAACTGTGCTCTGTCGGTAGTTAATCTGACCTCAGAGTGTGGTTCTTTGTACTTTGGTTGTGGTTTGGGCACCACCTAGTTCCAAGAACTAGGAAAAGAAATAACAAGTAAAGCAAAGGCAACCGAGTGCATGTCCCAGATGTAACTCAGTACCCGAAGTTAGAAGCCTCTAACAATGAGGGTTCGCAGAAATGGGGGACTGCTCCTCACAAACGTAAGTCCTACTTAAAGATAGGCTCGGAGTATCAATGCAGACAGTCCCCCTCAGCTCGATGGTTTAGAGTAGCTGTTACAATGGCTAAATTCCCAAAAGGGTGAGAAAAGGGCTCCGACAACAAAATTTACCAAGGGAGGCCGCTTTCTATCAAAATCTCCACAACCCGAATATCCAACTCTTGGTGTGAAATTATATCACTACCGCGGGTTGTGGCCCGCTGAACTCGTACACGAGATCACCGGAAATAGCATCAAGTCACCTTCAGGTCTCGTATTTACGGTCGACAGAAATTATAAAAAAATACCTTTAACGAGATGGAGAGTATAGTACCATAAAATTATTAGATAAGACGACAAGAGAAGTGTTTTGTTATAAAAATAAAATTCGATATTTTGAAGAACTGCTATATAATTATTATTCTAAATAAGAAAAACGTTGTAATAATTTACTTTATCAAGACATAGCTAAATTCATAAAAAGAAACTGTAACAGCTCCTACCTGGAATGTTACATGATTTAGTTTAGTAACAAAAGTGATCCGTACAATTGAAATTTTTTTCTTACTTGGCCAAACGCTGGTGTATTTGATATAGACAGCCTCCCCTTAAAACTTCGAGTAAAGATGTTTTTAAATTATGCATACTATGTATATAACTTCCTCTGACTTGTGAGTGTCACTTATAATTATGGCTAGTCGCTAATAACAGATAAGTGTTACGATTATCGTGTCGGTATGTACGTCGATATTTGGGCCAATAACAGAACGGAACATTGTGCGTGTCCTCACATAGCGAGATATGTATAACGTATTCTGTTCAATACTTCCTGTCTATGCTTATTGTAATCATTCTCCGATTTGGGGGATCAATTACCAACTACCATTAACGTACGCAAGTATTCCGCATCTTTATTCATAAATGCTACAAAGTCATGAATGGGCCTTTTCTATTCAGCTTTGTCTAGTTAATTGACATCATACTGCATCATTAATTAAATCCTCTTGTACTTTTACCATACAAATCGTTACCCTTGTTGGGTTATTGTTTTACCTGAAAAAAGTCTATAACCTTGAGCTTACAGT